ACCATGCAGCGCCTGTTTACAATGTTTCCACCAGCACACACATCCCCTTCTCCTGAGACCTTCTGCACCCCTCCTGAGATCCTTCACACCACTGCTAAAAACCCCCGCATGGCTGCTGAGTCCCTCCGCACCCCTTTTGAGGCCCTCCGCACACCTCCTAAGACCCTCCACACTGCTCCTGAGACCCTCCGTACCGCTCCTGACAGCCTCTGCACCCCTTCTTAGACCCTCTTCACCCCTCTTGAGACCCTCCACACTGCTCCTGAAACTCTCTGCACCACTCCTGACAGCCTCTGCACCCCTTCTGAGACCCTCCGCACCCCTTCTGAGACCCACCGGCTGAGACGTCAGGCTGGCAATGCGGAGCAGAGCAGCAGCACAGAGTATGTAGCAAATTCATATACTATAATTCTGCATTGCTGTATAACGTATTGCTGGGATTTGTAGTCCTCTTTAGCTGATAATATTATTCTGCATTGGTGTATAACGTATTGCTGGGATTTGTAGTCCTCAATAGCCGGTGCCATTTTGCATTGCTGTGTAATATATTGCTGGGATTTATGGTCTTCTATACCTGGTGGTATTCTGCATTGCTGTATAATGTATTGCTGGGATTCATAGTCCTCTAAAGCTGGTGGTATTCTGCATTGCTGTATAATGTATTGTTGGGATTTGTAGTCCTCGATACAGTGGCAGAACTACCAGGTTCACAGCAGTCGCTGCTGTGACTGTGCTCTAGCATTCTGCCACTTTAGGGGGTCCGGACAGGAGGAAGTGGGCCCCAGTAAGCGCTGACATTGCAGGTTACCGGGCCCCCCTTTCTTCAATCTGGGGCCCTCCGCCCTTCACACTCTGCCTGGATCTTGTGTATCACAAAGCTCTGCAGCAATAAAACACAGTGATTTGCAGTGTGGATGACAGACCCATTTTAACCTCCCTGGCGGTATGATTATGCAGGATTTTAGCATGCCAAAGCGGTACATTGTTTTTCATGGCAATTTGTTGTTTTATATTGTAGGCCTGTAATTCTTAGTAAATCTTAGGAATAACTCACCTAAATCTGTCCAAACAAGAGTCCAGTAGACATCCCGGGTATGATAAAGTTTGAAACACGAAATCATAAATTATAATATAATAATTTAAAAAATGGTCCAGTAAATGGGAATTCTGGGGGCGCTGCCTGATCCGTACCACAGTCAATAGAGTACAGTAAAAGTGCAGGCAGGGCACCGGACAAAGCTCTAGGGACAAAATTGAAGTGACATAGTTTGATACATATATGTAATTATAGCAGATTACATTGCATTGTGTGTATTCTGTGCAAAATTTCATGTTTGCACTTTTGAATTTCCCGCCGGCTCCGCCCCCCACTGTGACGTCCGAAAGCGAAACTGAAAGCCGAATGCCGGCATAGGCCGGGCACACACAGCAGAGGACACCGCGGGCTCGCAGGGACAAGATAAGTGAAACTTTTGCGCTGAGCCAATCACGGCAGGCTTTGTATTAATGAGTACAAAGCCTGTATTCATTAGTACAAAGCCTGCCGTGATTGACTCAGCGGAAGACGGAGGGCACAGCGGGGATCGTGGACAAGGTAAGAGACAATTGTGGCTCGGGGTTACCGCTCTTGGTACTGAAAATTAACCTAACACCGGGGGCCTGCACTGCCCCATATTGCAGGACCGGACCCCACTGAGGCTGTGGGGGATGCCCAGGACCGGACCCACTGGGCCCCCACACAGCCTCAGGCCCCGGTGCGGCGGCAGCGCCCGCTCTGGCGGTAGTTCCGCTACTGTTCCTCCTACTACACTCATCCACAGAGGACCAGCTGTTTTTTTTTGAGTCCTGCTTTCAGTCAAAAGCCTGGGAGCTGAGCGGTGATTAGACTGAGGTGAGGATATGTGTCAGTGCTGAAGCATGTCCATCTCAGCAGTGAGAAAGAGAGGGAGGCTATGTTACCACATACAGTGTGACCATGGTGAACAAACATAGCCAACTTCTAATAGTCAGATCGGTGCAGCAAGAGACGATACATTTGGGGAACTGAAAGAGGGTGGGAACCATAGAAGGTGCATATTTTAGATAAGGACAATTATTGAATAGTTTTTTTCCCCACTTTTTCAACCTAATTGAAATATTACCTATTTTAGATTTGTTACATGTAGCACAGAGAGAGATTTAGTCTGATAATATCTTGCTGTGAGATCATTTTTAATTTATAATTTCTCGTTAGATCTGTTGCTGGATGCTGAAGAATTAACCTCTTGCCGTCCGCCCGTAGTAAAAAAACGGACGGACGGCACTGCAGCATCTGCGGGTTGCCGTCTCCAGACGGCAATTTTTTTCTGCTCGCGCGTGCCCCCTAGCGGGCACGCACGGGCAGAAAAGACCCGTCCAATGCGAACACCCGGTACCGGGTGTTTCACATATAGGCGATCAGCGGGTCCATAGCC